AAAAAAAAAAAAAAAACATTGAGGAACCCAGGTAGGAGGGCCCCAAACTTTGTCATCTTCTCCAAGAGTGGAGGAAATTCACTAATACTCTGGAGGAATAACCTCCATCCACCATCCCAGTGACTGGAAACTGGGTGTGGTAAGGACTCCCTAGCTCTACTAGTAGAATATGGAGGGGGGAGGGGTTAATGCATAATTGGGAGAGCCCTGAAGAACAATGCTCTGGAAACAGTGCAATAGGTGATCCAAGTTCCCTAAATTTTTTAAAAGCCCACTGACCCCGATTTATTCACTCGAACAACCAGCAAGGACGGATAGGATTCCCTTATGCTTTAGTCATGATAGTCCATGAGTGGTGGTCCAGCATAGTACAGTAATACCACTTGGTCTGCCTCTAGATGGTTTTATGGAACACTTCATTTTCTATAGAGCCTGTTGCAACCTAAATGAAGTATATTATGTTAATGGTTGCTAGTGCAGAATTGGTTTGATAAAAGCACACCTGTCTTGACAACCCTTGCAACAGAGTGAGATCCTCAGAAAAAAAGGTAAGGGACCCTAGAAATTAAAGAAAAAACAATATTAGTACTGACTATTCTCATCTTTCTTTATAATCTAGCAGTTGTGGTTATGATAGCTACACACAAAACCCTCAGGGGAAGATACTGCCAGATCATGCAAATAATGTGAGATAAAAGTATTGGGGGAGGTCCCACATACCAGCCCACACAATGTCCTCCAGCAGGCCTTCAACTGGGCCACCAAGGATATAGAAATGTGACAAATCTGATGAAATGCGACTCACAAAAGTCTCCTCCCCTCCAAAGAGAGCCCAGAATAAGCAATAAGATGGATCTGTCTGGGTATATGAGCATGTAGGTAGAATGATAAAGCATCCTGTGCACATGCAGCTCAAACAACTCTGACCAGCGACGTCCACAGCACAACAGCAATAAAAAATTAAACCTTAAGGGAAAGTTGATACATGGTACATGGGCTTAAAAGGCATCATGGGAAATCTTGATTATCCCTGTGATGAGACCACTGTTGGAGTCATCATGCTTAAGTTTATGTTTAAGAAGGGAAATATTCCATTATGCTTATCAGAACATTATTAAATGTCTTGTAATGCTCTTCAATCTAAATGACATCATTTTTATTGACCAATTAGAAACTTCACAAAATAAGTGATGCATAATTGATTGAAGTAATAACACAGTGGTGTCAGTTGCATGTGGGTGTCAATTGAATGGTAACTAGCTATAAATACATCTCATTTTGCATACATTTACAAATTGTTTGAGTAAAATAATATAAAATATGTCAAATGATGAGGGTATGAGTGAGAATGGTAGTGAATATGTACCAGATAAAAGTGATATGGAGTTTGATAGCAGTGATTATTCCGATTGCAGTGACAATTTTCAATTTCAAGACTTGCATCAACTGAATGAAATGGCTGGAGGATGGAAATGTGTTCCTAATGTGTTTGATGATGCTAGGCCTCAACTGGAGCTGCTATTAATGAGCAAGTTCAGTGGGATCAACCCCACAGCTGGCTTTTCAGATACCATGAGTGTTTTAGAGTGTATGAAAAGGTTTATTATGTGTGAAGTTATAGAACTGTAGTTTGGGTCAGATGAATCCTAGAAAATTGTGATCTATTCAGGTTGACCACAGACTCTGTTCTGGAACCCCACATTTCCAGGAGTAGGTGTATTCTCTGATAGTCTAAATATGCATCACCTAGTGGTGGTAAGATAAAGCATGTTGTTCTCACAAACGTGGCAGGCAAGGCATATCTATCCCTTCACATAACTGAGCAGTAAACTTCCCTGCATTAACTGCAATATCATGGGATGGAGGCAAAACTAAGTATTTTCCCTCAGACATTTCTGTCATCAAGGAAGGCACAGACTCAAAAGCAACCAGGGAAAGACCCAAAACATCACACACAAAGAAAAGGAGCCAGATGCAGCTGATCCAAGTTAGCCTCATGATAATCCGACAGAGTGAAGAAAGGGGTGCTGGAAAAAGCAAATCTAAATTCTCTCCAGAATGTCTAGGATCACCCATAAGTACAGTGTCAGAGCACCCTGGAGAAACACCAACAGATCTAATATATGTCTCCATCTGACTATGAATAAGGTCACAGACAGTCTCAACTGAGAGCTTACCATTTGAGTTTACCAACTAACAATAAAATTTTTTTTGTAAGAAAATCAACTAGGTAGCTCGAAAAACACTCTAAGTATTTCCAATGGTCGTAGAACAGAGAAACCAGTTTGTGACACTTTGTCAAGAGAAAGTGATATCATCTGAATGAGTTGCTTATATACAGTACCAGGTCAGAGGGAACATTGAGGTAGGTGGAGAGAGTAATGAGACAGATATTGCCAAGGGCAATAAAGTGGGGAATAAAAGACTGGAGCAAGTGAGAAACAATTTGGACCAATGCTTAGATGGGCAAAGGAAGGAAACCCTGGCAGTTGAATAATAGCTGTAGTGTTAGAGGAGGTATGTTTTGGAATCAGTATATCTATACATACAACCTAAACTCCCATTTGCTTGGATAACAGAAGAGACTGATCATCCAGAACACCAATATATTTTTCTTCCATAGCACTGTTAAAGTTACTCCCGTCAAAAGTTATAGTTTTCCTAAATGAAAATGAATTTCTGATAGATACTTCTGTCCTCTCACAAGATTAGCTTTTCTCGTTCTGTGCTATATGCGAACTTTCTCAGAAAGGCATGCCACAAACCTTCATGCTCCCTCTGTTGGAATCCAAAGGTTCAACATGTCTATCATGCTTCTACATGTATTACAAAATGAGAATGTTCTTTATTACTTACCAGCAAGAAAACTGTTAACATGTTTTATAATATCCTGTACTTTAGACCTGACAAGGCAAATATAGAAAATCAAAATAGAAAATATTATACAAGAGGCTACATATTAGAATGATTTCTAGCATGAAATATAAACAAACATAACAGATGGACCATTTCAAAGCTGTCCCTGCACTAACATCTCCAATAAAGTGTGAATCTTTCTACATCAACACAATAGAACCCTCATTAAACAGAAATTTGGGCCTAGATATCAACAACTTATAGCTACCATTGATTGAATCCACACTTAGTCACCCCACCAATAAGGACCAATTAAAGCACATCCATCTCAATCCACCTGAATACTATATAAGGCCTGCACAACTTTTACAAACTGACCTCAAGAAGAAAGGCAGAAGACTTTCAAAATGTCTTTCTCTACATTTGAGATATACATAAGTAGATTGTATAGCCACTAATATATTTCCACAATGTTTCTCTAATAGGCAGGTGCTGCCTATTTCACAGTCAACTCAAGGTCTCTGCTGTTTTTTGATGCTATATCCTACATTTCTGGCTTTTTACTGTTGAAGTTTTGACAGACTAATGTTTCTTGTAGTCTATCTGAATCCACTGTGATGTTAAAATGTTTGTTGGACATTTTGACTGTGGTTTGGATAATTTGTTTCTCTTAGTGTAAAGATTATACTGATCAAACATACTATACAAGGTTTTATTTTTGGATGGGTGCAACTGTTTTTGGTGTCTTTGTGTTACATACATGTGCATACAATAGATTTGAGGTTTGTTTGATGAAGATGTATCAAACCTGGAAAGTTTTTCTGTATATATGAAAAGGTGCATTTATGTGCCCATGTATTTGGAAGCAGTTTTAAATTTGTTCAATATGACGTCCTTGATATTTATGTATTTTGTTCATCCTGTATATGCAGTAATACTTTACAGGTTTGACTTTATTTTTCTTCTCTAAATTCTTTAAGGCTGTAGTTTTTGTCACATCTTAGACATCATGGCTGAGAATGGCATAAGCCAGCATAGTTTTGAATCTCTGTCAGTTGTGGCATTGTACGATAGGGTTGTGGTAGCTATACATTCTTCCACTTTGTGGTACTTATACCAAAGGTGCAGTCCATGTGAGATGTCATTATTTGCTATATTTTCTGATTCTACACCTGTTTTCCATTAGAGAGGTAAAGGTGTTAGTTTTGTGAAGAATGGTTTTGAACAGTGTGTTGTTGTGATATCTTCTACGTTTAGTTCTTCTTGTATTTCTTCATTAGTCATGTTTGTTGGTCACTCCTAATTATCGTATAGTGAATTTTTTTTTGGATCAAACTTTGTAAGTGTACTTTGATTTTTGAACTATGAAAGGCATTTTGGATTTAGGTGTTTTACAAGAACACTTCTGTTAGGAAATCACTTGATTTCTTTGACCTGTAGTCCAGATTTACATTTAAATGTTTCTTTACTAAATCGGGTAAACTAAAAGTGTTTGATACTCCTTCTACAATAACTATTGTGAAATGATATTACTGTTGGTCTTCCTGGTGTGTTTTATAAAGTATTTGTGCTTGTGCACTGGTATAGTTAATAGTTTGTGTATGTTGCTGCTGTAGTTTACTTTTGTTTTTTCTTAACAGTGGTTTTGTAAGATTTCCTACCCGAGTCTGTTTTCTGCAGATGTTTGGGTCTTTTATAGCTACTTTTTTTTATAGAAAATCACCAATCCTCCTCTAAACCCTGTGTCAAAAGTGGGGGTCAAAGTTTGCATGCCATGACCTTTAACCTTTTATTAGAGTAAATGCTAGATACAGTAGACAGGGATACTGAAAAAAAAAGTAGATAGACATTTCAGAAGCTCTAGAGGTCATGCAAGTGCAATATGCAAACTAAACAATGGGTAAAAGTATTTATATTCTTCACATGAATATCACCCTCTATTCCAACTTGTCTGAGTGAGACTAACATTAACAATTCACATATATATATCTTGAAAACAAATAACTCTGTAACACATCCAATTTTTTTTAGTACAAACAGACTTTTACATTTTACTGATATTAAAAGCTTGCCACATTTCATGCAAATACACTTAGAAAATTTTGAATTATAGTCAAAATTCCTTCTCCAATATGGGTTTAATCAAATGGGTTGACCAAGTGCACATCCAGTTGAAGACAGCATCTTGAACATTAGACTCTTATGATATTTCTAAAAGTTAACAGAGTAGATATAAAAGGCCATGATACACAGAGGTGTACAGAGTTTATTGTTATCCTTATTACTTGATCCAAGAGATTAGCCATCAATTTAATATATATATATAACAATATTACTATTTTACTATAAGTTGAGAGCACGGTTATGTAACGGGTCTTATGTAACTTGTAACAGACTACCAGAACAACCAGTGTTACGAGCAACTAAAACATAACTGTTTAAATCATTTGTCATAGGCCTAAATTAGTACATCACTATGTGTAACTTTCAAGTTCAAAACAAAAGTTTCTTCCTTTGTATTTGTCAGTAGGTACTCAAATCATTTTCACAAATAAGTTAGATCATGAACGACTGTCATCACACTTCATTGTAAGTTTCAACTTATAACTATAACTTAATTAATGTTATTTAAAATCAAAGTTAAACTACTAACACTCATCTGCGTTATCACGTATTGATATTAATAATAAAACAGTTATAGTAGTTAGTATTACCAATTAAGAATTATATTGCACTCATTTGTCTCTACTGACTTGGGTTAACCTAATGAAAAATTGTGTTAATAATAATATTCGGCAATACAGTACTTTCAACTTATCATTCGTTCCATCCGTCCTGATCTTACTCAAGCCAGTCAAGGTTATACGTAAAATAACATGCAACGTAAAGCTATGAATACGATTATAAAAAATACGAACTGTAGCCTACCTCTCCGTTTCCACTCCATTTGCCGTTGTAAACCCCGAGATTTTTATTTTCTAATCCCAACTCTTTCAAAAAAGAAAACTTCGGCTCTTGTATTAGAAATGAGCTGGACGAAGCCATCGTTTTCGATATTACGAGCCGGTGAGCAAGTTTTCTAGATAAAACAAAAAATCTTGATGAAATGGAAAGGATAATCATTCCGTCTACGACCACAGTTTATCAGAGTCAGAGAGATCGAGCCTGGATAAAAATTCTTAAATACACACTTGACGGCGTAAAAAAATATTATGATATATAGTATTATAAAATAATTATTCATCTTTACCATTACTAATTTTTAAGTATAAATAATTTTAAAATGTATTTATTTTGTTGCATAAGTCATATTTTTGTATGCTAAATCACAAGCTGATAAATTGATAAATTAAATCAATC